AAAGTTTGGAAGGAATATGGAATGGAGCAAAAAGGTTACAGAGAGGTTAGAGACAGAAGAAACAAAGGAACTGGGGACGGAAGAACGGGTGGAAATAAAGAAGAAGATACATCAAATATAGAGACTGTAAGAGTGGGAAAAGGGGAAATGAAAAAAGTAGGGAAAAGTTTCAAAGAGACTGGAACGTAAATAATGGTGAAGAAAGCAGAGTGGAAATTCTGGGGCTCAGAAAAGAGGACAGAAAGTGAAAAATACTGTGGAGACTAAACAAACATGAAATTTGCTAAACATTCAAAGTAACAATGCACATCCTCACACAAGCCTCAAATCAAGCTATTTGTTGTCTAAGAACAATCAAATACACAATGATTTATATACTTTCTAACAGGAATCAGCACCTGGTTCTTGCCAAGAAGCCAAATTTGTTTGGCATGCACAAAGTAGAACAGATGGCTGTTCTGAGTTGTTTAGTTATTCGTTTATTAGATTATTTACAAATCATTTTTACTCATCTCATTTCGCAAATGTAACAAAGGGGTTTTACTTTGTAACATCATCTTAAAAATGTGAAGATTATAGGAATTGCTATCACAAATAGGGAAATGCAGGCCTTTATTGCCAAGCATTGATTTCTACACTTAATCTTACAAAAACAAATGAGATTCCAGATTCATTGTTGTTTGAATCAGTTCCAGTTCAGTGAATGTGGGAAATATTTGAATTTTTTAAAATTTAATTAGCAGTTAGGGTTTATAAAGGTTTTCCATTATGTTCTTTTATCTACTTAAAAGTGCTACTTCTAATTTAATCTAATGAAATTCTCTTCAACAAGCGGGTTTCCTATCAGACAAGCTGATTTTCAACTTGAGAACTAAGCCAAAGAAAAGTTACATTAAAAAAAGAAAAAAAAAAGAAAAACAAAACCAAACAGTGAGTTACCGTATTTTCCATGTATAAGAGTAGTTTTTTTTCTAAAAATTTTTTAGTGTAAAATTGGGGGTCATTTTATACACGGAATATCACTGCGGGGGTTTAAAAAAAATGCGTTGTGCGTTAAGATGGTGCCTGCCGCATTTGAGTGTGCCACGGCCTACACACATACCTATCCTCCCTCCCGCTGATCCACTTCTTAATGCTGTGGAAGGAAGGAGGAAGAGGAGCCTATATGCGTGGGAGACATCAGCACTTACCACCAACGGAGCTCCAGAGACATGTCACACCATAAGAAGCAGCCATATTAAGGTTTGCTCCACTCAGGTAGGTCTTGCTTTCTGAATTATATTTATGGGGGAGGAAATGTGATGTCCCTGCATGCCTTTGCACCACCTGATGTATCGTGGGTTCTGAAGTTTTCCAGCATGCACTATGGAGCCATTAACTTCACAGAGTACTGTAGCACAGCGGAGACATGAACATCAGAAGTGTGTTGTTCTCCTCAGAAGTCACCTCTAAAATATCAAAGTTGTTCTATTTGATGTTTAAAATATTGATTTCTAAATTTTGCACTAAAAAAATAGGGGTCGTCTTATACATGGGAAAGTTTTATACGCGGAAATATACGGTAATCCAATCCTTTAAATAGATACTATAGTGCCAGGAATACAAAGCTGTATTCCTGGTACTATCACTTCCCTCTCCCCTGTCGCCCCAGTAGTGACTATGTATTGGTTTACAAAAGAAAAATTCATATATACTTATCATATACAATATATACTACACATATAGACACACTATACTCATATATATATATATATATAAAAAGTCGTAACTTATTGATTTCTTATGGTTTGTATAAACCTCATTATACTGTATACTAATGCAATAGATGTAAATGTATTGTATTCTAAGGATTTAAAACAGCAAAGCCACATACACGCTATGTTCTTATATGTAGTTATGTTTAACTTGTTGCTGGGATTTCCCCTTAATTTTTTACCATTAGTTCCCTTTTTCAATTTGATGCTTCTTCTTCACAACTGACATTTTAAAGTTAAAATGTCAGTTACGTGGGAAATGTATTTTTTAAGTACAGGAATCCCACAATAAACACATCAAACTACAGTCTATGATTTGGCCTTCATACAGATAAACTATTGCAGGGGTAGGCAACCTTTTAGTAGTACTGTGCCAAATCAAGCTCTTTAAGTCTCTTGGCGTGCCAGTCCTATTTTTACATTTTATTAATTGAGGTGTGTAAATTGCCGTATTGTCCTTGTGTTATTTATGGGTGTTGCAGTTGCTTTGTAACGTTGTATTTGTGTGTATGTGGGCTGCTATATTGTATATGTTCATGAGTATTTTGTGGTATTGTTTATGGGGGCTGCTTGTAGAATGGTGTGCCTGGATGATATGTCCTCTCATATGTCATCCTCTCACACATTATCCTCACACACACACACACACACACACACACACACTATACTCCTCACAAATACACACTACGCCCTTCACACACACTGTACACATACACACAACAGTCCCCAAACACACTGCACCACACACACACACACATATACACACACACACAATACTTCCAAACATATATGTATATATACTACAGATCCCCTCACACACATACTGCACCCCTTAAACACACTACATTCCAGACACAAACTAGATCCCTTACCCAACTCTGGATCATCTACACATATACACACACTAGATCCCTATATACACTCTGAATTGTATACCCACACACACTTACTAGATCTCCTATACACAGTATAGGTCCTTTAAGCACACACTAGATCCCCTACACACACACTGCACCAACTACACATTTCTGACATACACACTCTGGATCCCCTATGCACACACTAGATTCCTTGTAAGCAAACACATACTACATTCCCTAAACACACACTCTCTACAACCCCTACACAAACTACATCACCTATACACACACACATACACACACTACAGCCCGTATGCACACACTCACTACATCCCCTATACACACTATGCCCCATATACACACTCTCTACAGCACCTACAAACATAGATTACATTACACCACAAACACAACATGGCTGAAACCAACCTATTAACACAAAACCACACACACGCAATCCCATAAGCAGGCTCCAAACACATGCACAATACTCTTTCCTGGCATTTTTGTCTTGTATCCTATTTATGGAGTCACCAGAGTTCAAGCAAACACAATGCAAGCATGTTATTACATTTGCTTGCGCTGTGCAGAACAAATACAAGGCCCCTTTCTCATGCTAGAGCTCTTCAGCAGAGCTCTGCACATGGTCTGATCCAACCTGCTCACATTGAGATAGGGCGTGCTTGTCATCTGGGATAACAAAACACACCCTATTTGGCCCCATCCCATTTTCAATAGGCCGCTGTGATAAAAAAATGCCCGGGCTGAATTTTTTTCCCAGTCCGGCCCTGACCTTGAGTGCCATGCATGGCACACCTGCCATAGGTTGCTGAACCCTGTACTATCGTTTAACATGTAGCCTTCACTATCATAACAAATTTCCAAAATATGTGAATTCTTTAATGTGAAAATGGATAGTGCTACAAATACTAATCCCATCTACTCACCACGAGTACAACAAATTTTGTAACTGTTAAGGTGACCGTTATAATCAATTATACAGTTTTGCCTTTCAACCTAATTAATTCATATATAACAGAACCATTATTAATTATGTTCCTTGTTCTCCCACACTATATGAGCAGTTCATTGCATATCCCCACACCTCCTACAACTCCTGCCAATTCTTACAATATCATACAGGAATATAGAAACAGATCACACTGTTTGCTGCTACAGAACTTCACAAATGTGATATAAAAACATCAAAAACCTGACTTTAAAATGTTTTTTTGTTTTGTTTTTTTTTACATTTTTGCAGTGCATAAGTATACAACAAGATTGAGGTGCCCCAACAGCATTCCCCAGGCACTTCAACATATATAGAACAGTGGGACATATGAGATATTGTGCACAATTTTATGGATAAAATAGAGAAGATGAAGTGACAGGCTAGAAACAGTATTGTTATAATAGATGTCAGTAGAATGGTGAAACAACATGGTGTAGCAATCAGGCTATGTGAACTATCATGGTGATCAAAAGTGGTGTGTATTCTAACAAGCTGTAATGTACATATCTACAGATTCGTGAGTGGTTTGATAGGTAGAGTTGGGAAGACTTGTGTGGATGATGCCACAGAGAGAGCAAAAATATTGAGCTGTATACGGCATTATCTGTGAAGTATGGTGTTTCACTATGTGATGGTGCATCCATGTGTCAGAGTTTGCCACTGGGACTAGGCTTTAGGCTTGGAGCTTTAGGTGTTGAAGGTCTCGTGGGGAGCCCAGGAGTCCGGCCTCTGTGTGGTCGCCATCTTTGCTGTGAGCCAGTAGGTCCCATTATGTGAGCTTGGTAAGCTCTTGGTGCTGGGCAGTTTACACACAGGTGGGGACCAGGATAACCCCCACTGGTCCAAAGGGGGGGTAGGAGTCCAGGTGAGTCGCTTGCTGAGTATAGGGGTGGGAAGAGCGGCCGCCTCTCCCCAGCTCCAACTATAGTAGGCCGCAGCATTCTGGTCTCCCAGTTGCAACCAACTCAAGTGTGGTATTGATTCAGGTGTGTACCCCTGATGTGGGTAGTGCACCCCGATAAGGTGTGTGGTGAGTGAACCATTGAGGCAACCCCGAAATCCGCCAATTAAGCGGGAGCTCATGCTGCTCAGGTCTGCACTTCTCGGAGGTCAGGCTCCGTCCCCTCCTGACTTGGTTTTTTATATAAGGTATAAACTGGTATCATCAGCATGATTGAGGTAAATATTAATACAAAAATTAAAAGCATGCTGTCACAGATCCCCCACACTCTCACATAAAGAAAATTGCCGGTCAGGTAGATGAATATTGGGATCTTCTCACCATTCTAACCTGAATCCAGGCTCAATGACACCTCCTCCTCAGCTGAACAGTGGAATGTCCTACACTCATGGGGAATACTTGCCTGGGTGTTACCTCCATGGATCACCAGCTGCTCATATTGCCCCCAGTACTGTGTCAAACTGCTTACATGCAATATGACACAAAGCCAAGTTTTCCAAGATGCTGGTGGCCTGCCCCTTACTCGTATTGCTAATATGGAAGTTACATTTACTAATGAGCAATGTCAATTTTCATCATATTTCGATGACATTGATTGGCAGACAGTGGGAATATGGTAGGAGGGGTTAGAGGAGTCGAGCTGCAGGCACTTTGAACACAGTCGTTTTTTTTGTAAAACCACTTGACCAAAGCCATAACCACTACAACTTGCTGTACAGGTTATGGTGTTTAAAATGCCTTTAAAGAAACAAATCTCAGAGATAGAATCGCTCTTTAAAATAATGCCAAACTAATTTTATCAAATTACATATAGCACAGAACACCTACCTTAAAGGACCACTATAAACACCCAGACCACTTCAGCTTAATGAAATGGTCTGGGTGCCAGGTCCATCTAGGGTTAACCCTGCCTGCTGTAGACATAGCAGTTTCAGAGAAACTGTTATGTTTACATATGGGTTAATCCAGCCTCTAGTGGCTGTCTCATTGACAGCCGCTAGAGGTGCTTCCGCGCTTCTCACTGTGATTTTCACAGTGAGAAGACGCCAGCGTCCATAGGAAAGCATTGAGAAATGCTTTTCTATGGACTGACTGAATGCGCACGCAGCTCTTGCCGCGCATGCACATTCAGCCGATGACGTCGGAAGGAGGAGGAGAGTCCCCGGCGCTGGAGAAAGGTAGGTGTTTAACCCCTTCCTCCCCCTTCAGCCCGGCGGGAGGGGGGCCATGACTTTTAATACCATAGTCCCAGGAAAACAGGTGTGTTTTCCTGGCACTCTAGTGGTCCTTTAAACAGGTGTGTTTTCCTGGCACTATAGTGGTCCTTTAATCCCTTAAGGACCAAACTTCTGGAATAAAAGGGAATCATGACATGTCACACATGTCATGTGTCCTTAAGGGGTTAAACATTCACCATCAGCAAGCAAGAAGTACTTTTGTAAAGTAAGTGTTTGTTTTGTGGAATTCAAAAAGAGGAATTTTAAAAAACTTTAGAAGAAAATGGAAAAATTCCATTAGTCTCACTAAGTCATTGTTTGTTGCAATGTGTTTTCCATTGGTAACCCATAGTTAGTTTTGCTTTCTAAAGTCTAAATAAAAACAGTAGTGTAAATTTTTGAAACTAAGTGAACTAAGTTTTGATGTTTTTTGCTACATTAAATAAAGGCAATTATGCTACATGCTACAGATGGTGAAACATGTTTTCTGTTTGAAGCACACTATATACAGACATGGAAAAAAAAAGTACACCCTGTATGAATTCTATGGTTTTACATATCAGGACATAATAACAATCATTTGTTCCTTAGCAGATCTTAAAATTAGGTAAATACAATCTCAGATCAGCAACAAAACATGACAATATACCGCGTCATGATTTATTTAACAAAAATAAAGTCAAGATGGAGAAGTCATGTGTGAAAAGCTAAGTACACCTTATGATTCAATAGCGTGTAGAACCAGCTTAGAAGTAATAACGTGATCGTTTTCTGTATGACTTTATCAGTCTCTCACATTGTTGTGGAGGAATTTCGGCCCACTCTTCTTTACAACATTGTTTCAGTTAATTGAGGTCTACTGGCATTTGTTTATGCTCAGCTCTCTTAAGGTCCTGCCACAGCATTTCAATTGGGTTGAGGTTTGGACTCTGAATGGGCCATTGCAACACCTTCATTATTTTTTTTTTCAGCCATTCTGTTGTAGATTTGCTGGTGTGCTTGGGATCATTGTCCTGTTGCATGACCCAATTTCTACCAACATTTGATTCATTTGATAGAATACTTTGATTCACAGAGGAGCTCATGGTTGACTCAATGACTACAAGGATCCCAAGTCATGTGGCTCCAAAACAAGCCAAAATCATCATACCTCCATCACCTTGCTTAACAATTTGGTATGAGGTGTTTGTGCTAATATGCTGTGTTTGCTATTCACCAAATGCAGCACTGTGCATTATGGCCAAACATCTCCACTTTGTTCTCTTCTGTCCAAAGGACATTGTTGCAGAAATCTTGTGGTTTGTTCAGATGCCACTTTGCAAACCTAAGCCGAGCTGCCATTTTCTTTTTAGAGAAATTAGGCATTCTCCTGCCAACCTTTTTAAAGCAAACCATACTGTTGTTGTCCTTTTCTAATTGTACTGTCATGAACTTTAATGTTTAACATGCTCAATACAGTCTAAGATGTAACTCTTGGGCTTTTTGCAATTTCTCTGAGCTTTGCTTGGGGTGAATTTGCTGGGACACCCACTCCTAGGAAGATTGGCAACAGTCTTGAATATTTTGAATAGACTTTAACATTTACATAGATTTATATAACTTATATAAGTTTGGAAATGGTCTTAGAACCCTCCTCAGTTTGATGAGCAGCAACAAATGCTTCTCTAAGATCATGATGTCTTCCCTCCTTGGCATTATGTTAACACACACCTTAATGCTCCAGACCAGCAAACTTATAATATTTAGCTTTCATAGAGGTGGTTACACTTGATGATGATTAGTTAATCAAGGGAATTTGATTACCATCACCTTTCTGCTACGTAGCCTCTTAATTCCTATGGAAGCAGTAAGGGTGTACTTAGGTTTTCACAGATGGCTTCTCCGTTTTGGCTTTAATTTTGTTAAATACATCATGACACAGTGTAATATGTCATGTGTTGTTTTTCATACTAGCTTGTATTTACCTAATTTTAAGACTTGCAAAGGAACAGATGATTGTTGATATGTCCTGATACGTAAAACCATATAATTCAAAGAGGGTGTATTTTTCTTGTTCACGTGACTGTACACTGTATGTGAAAATTGTAATAACTACTTAATAAACTAACTAGTTGGGAAAATAGTCACCTATGGAATGCAGCTGTTGATTTCTTTGGTGATTGTCATATTTTTAGGACTTTATGACAGCTTTTAGAACAGAAAACTTTGATAAATCTACCCCCGTTGTTTCTCGTTTTTTTCCCTCTCCTCTCTCCTTAATGTTGACTTCCAGGTGCAGAAGGAAGAGTTTATAGCAATGATTGAGTGGTAGCCAAGGTGAAGACTCCAGGTTCTAGGACAAATGTAAATACAGGGGTTTGGTAGTTCTACATTTAGTTTTATTTTTCGATCTCATAAATACATTATGGATGTATGAATATAACAAAATGTATTGGGAAGTGATGATTGCCTTCTAAATAGATCCATCTATCTCTTATATGTATCATTATTTGAAGCATTGTTCTCAAAAATCACAGTGTTTGCTGGCATATATATATATATAGAAAGGAGAAGTGGTTTAATACCAAATATTTTTTGAAATGCAATAGCAGAAGTGTCTTTGTTTTTGATGTAACATCGACAGGTGAGAGTCTACACCTTTCTATCCTTCACTTCAATATTTGGGATTTGGTTTCTTGAACAAATTACTGTCTAATTAAATGACCGTTGAATGCTATACAAGAAATATGCAGTATTTTAAAATTGATTATTGCGTAAAACAACAGAATCTGTAAAGGTATTTAATCCACCAATAATTTTATCTGATACTAATAAAATGGAAAAACACCAAAATTATATGACAGATAATTAATAATGCTATATCCTGCCTAAAACTTTATATTGATATAAATACATATTGGGTTCCGACATTCATCTATTTCAGTGCTACACTTTTCGATACACTGTATCTTTAACATCTGTTTTAGTATTATATTATGACCTGGAAACCTTATTTGTCTGAATTCAGGTCATGCATACGTAAGACTGACATGTTGCTATTTAGTCTGGGTCAATCTCTGACTCTAAAGGTAATTTAAATCCATGCAGAGATTAAAGATGACATATCAGTGCTTTCTTCATCTCACAGTTGAGATTACGCAGAAAATGAAAACACATATTTCATGCAGGGAGGAAACTATATGAGATCCCTTGACATTCAGGTATTGATCTAATATTTTGCACAGGTTTTTCAAATTATTTTATATTTTGTGGTACACTTTTAAAATTAATTAATTTAATATTATTATTATGATGTTAAAAAAATATAATATAAAGCACTATATTAAAAAGCTGTATTTGCCAAAATCCTATCTAGTCTAATTACATATAGCAAAACAGTAGTCTATGAATGCATAAAACAGAAGAACATTTACCATGTATTCTATGAGGGCACCAACAGAATATTTTAAAAAGGTTCCATCTTTAGATACTGTGTAGAAGAGGTGATGAGAGTTCCGAGGTATGGTCCCTATCACATAATGTGAGCAGGCAAATCAGCAATGCTCTAGGTGTCACAGACCTGTTCTTGTCCCGCTTGATTAAAGGCACAGGAAGAGCCAAGGGGGTACAATGATACCTGCTAACCCCACTATGTCATAAGGCAAAGATTTAAAGCATTCAGAGTGTGCGATTCTCCTGGGACCAAATCTTCAATAGCAGCCCTCCACTCTATTCTCTGTAGGGATGCAACTGATGACACTGTTGCACGTACCAGTGATGATACAAACAGGCATTCCATAAAAGGGAAAAGGCTGTTTTAAAAAAAAAAAGTTACCAAGGCATAAATAAAGAGATATAATAAAAAAATAATAATAGCAAAAAAAAGAGGAGCATGCATTTCTATGAAGCGTACATTAATCATGTAACAACCATAATCTTAATTTTGTGGAAAAACAAATCCAGTTTGTATTTTACAAGTTTCACATTCAATTGTTCTTCTGGCTGTCTGCACTGCATTGCTGATCAAAGGTGCTGAAATAATATTAACCAGACTGGATCTGACCTGTTGTATCACATGGGAGTAACACACATGTTCTGTATTACATATTACTTGCCTGCTTGAGCATGCTGTTTTCAACTATATTGCCTCCAGAAATGATGTTATACTGGACTCCTACCTAGTAGACTTGGGGCCTAGTGCATGTCAACACAGATTATTTAAATCATTAACAGTATTAAAGAATATAGTACATTTTACTATGACATTTCTTTATATACAAGACTAAACGTCAGATACAATAATGAGAGCCTGGCTATTTTTCTCAGTTATAATATGCCAGATTTTTAGTTTATGGAAGAAATTCCATTATGTTACATTGTGCAATCTCATAAAATAACGTTAGCTGTGGGCAGTCAGAATGCTCTGGAGATTTATCTTTGCATCCAAAAGTGAACATATAAATATCACCTACTGTATGTATTTAGTCTGCCCAAAATAAACTATTTTCGTTGTCTATAAATCTCACGATGACAAGAGATGGGTAGTAATTTGAAGGGAGTAATGTAATGGATCACATTCCTTTCCAAACAAAACCAAATATTTAATATGAATTTGAAAAAAACAATTATTGTAAGTGCATTTAAATCACTTGAATTTGTTACACGGAATCTCTAAAAATCGCTGTGGTTATAATTGTGTTTTTTATCTGTAGTTTTTTCAAATGCTTTTTACTTTGGTTTAGCTATACCAGGCTTCCCCAATCTCCGGCCCTCCAGATGTTTCTGAACTACAACTCCCATGATTCTATTAATGAAATAGATAGGCTGAGAATCATGGGAGTTGTAGTTCAGCAACATCTGGAGGGCCAGAGTTTGGGGAAGCCTGAACTATACTGTGCTTACCCAGAATAAAACTCTTTGCCAATAAGGCTATGACATGAGTCACAGAATGTAATGGGGTAATGGGGTTTATCACCATGCCATATATGTACACTCGTTATTATATTTACTTAGGATATGAACTTTACACTCATTTAGATGTATGCTTGGCATAGGCTTTGTCCTGTTGCAAGGGTTTGTGGTCTGAGACCTACAGGAAAGATGTGTTAGCAGCCACCACTGCCAAGACATACAACTTTAAACATATTCAGCATACTCATTGGCAAGTGAATAACAAAGACAGCATACATTTTTATGGGTTTGAAGAAATTAAAAAAATGGGGATATTGACACCTAATGTAGTAGACACACCAGAGGTTGCATGTAGATAGCGTAACCCACATACAAAACAAGAACAAAGTATAAAACAAAGATGTAAAGGTGGGAAAATGGACAACTAACATGACAATGTTGTTTGGATGACATTTTTTAGTTGCTATAAATTGCTATATTTAACACACACTATACACTAGTACGATCACTACAATTAAATATATGCATAGATCACTATTGCATGAAAAAAATTAAAATTATCGATAAAATTAAGCTTATATTTACTGGTACCTCCAACAAATGCAATGCATTCATACAATATAAACACACAGACTCTGAATACACCCACACAAACTGCTGAATACACCCACAAACTGCTGAATAGACCCACACAGACTGCTGAATACACACTCACAGACTGCTTAATACACACACAAACTGCTGAATACATACACAGACTGCTGAATACATACACATGCTGCTTAATATATACACACAGACTGCTGAATACATGCACTTAAACTGCTGAATACATGCACAGATTGCTGAATACATACATATACTGCTGAATACACACACAGACTGCTGAACACACACAGACAGAGACTGCAGAACACACACACAGACTACAGAATACATAAACACACAGACTGCTGAATACACACAGACAGTAGTGATGGGTGCAGTGTTTGTGTGTGTAAGGGGTGCTGTGTGTGTGAGAGGGGTGCTGTGTATCTGAGAGGTGCAGTGTGTGTGTCTGAGGGGAGCTGTGTGTATGTAAGGGGTGCTGTGTGTTTAGGGGTGCAGTTTGTGTGAGGGGTGCTTTGTGTATGTGAGAAGGGCAGTGTGTGTGTGAGAGAGGGGTCTGTGTGTATCTGAGAGGTGCTGTGTGTGTTAGGGATGCAGTGTGTGAGAGGAACACAGTGTGTGTGTGAAGGGTGCTGTGTGTATGTGAGGGGGCAGTGTGTGTGTGAAAGGGGTGCTGTGTGTGTGAGTCTGTGAAAGGGGTGCAGTATGTGTGAGAGGTATGCAGTGTGTGAGGGGTGATGTGTGTGTGTGTGGAAGGGGTGCAGTGTGTGTGAGGTGCTCTGTGTGTATGTGAGGTGTTGTCTGTGTCTATATGAGGGTGCTCTGTGTGTATGTGAGGGTGCTGTGTGTGTGAGGGGTGCTGTGTGTGTGTGCTAGGGGTGCTATGTGTAAATGAGAGGGGTGCTCTGTGTATATGTGAGAGGTGCTCTGTGTGTATCTGAGGGGTGCTCTGTGTGTGTGGGGGGGTGCATAGGAAAAAGGATTTTTGTTATTTTTATTAATAACACATTTTAAAAAGCTTCACATCCCCCCCCTACCCTTCTTCTTAACTTTGGTGAAGGAAGGGGGTACACAGCCAGTCCTGGTGGTCCAGTGGTGAGTAGTATACCTACAGCCTGCAGCTCCTTCCATTAGCAGAATGTTGTCTTGCCAGCATGCTCGCGAGAGGAACTGCCTCCCCGGGCAAGTGCCCAGCATGCCCATGTGGAATGACAGCCCTGAATAACACTGTAGTGACTAGTTGTAATTTTAAATGGTTCATTAATATAAACATCCAAGGTTGTCGTCCTCATCAGTATATTCCCACCGAGCCATTTCTTGACACTGGGTGAATATACTGCGTGTACTGGATAGTAAAGCTTATCCTACAGATCTGAACAAAAGGTCTTCTGGGATTAATTCTGTGCTGAAATGCCAACATCAATGTCAGTACGATTCTTTCTTTTTCCTTATTTTACAAGTTTTTGTGATTATTCCCCTTTAATTAATGTGACTTACTTGGCTAGTGCAGAATATACAAAATGATGCAGTTACTTGTAAACATTGGTGGGTTAGAGGAACTTGTGCAACAATGTGGCTGCCTAATATAACTATAGCTGTTTAGACAAAAGAAAAAATCCCCACCCACTCCCTGTGGGGAAACTCGCAAGCTCTGAAGACTTTCTACATATTAACATTGTATTCATAGCTAAACAAAGATGCAGGTAACAGGATATGGAAACTTGATAAAATGATGTACCTGAATGTAGTTAGATCTTAACGTGATGACTTGTTAGAAGTTTGTCATTAAAATGCTACTCATTTATACAGTGTGTTGGGAAATGGCTAGAGATATGTGTTAACTCTTGTTATTTCCTCGTTTGATATTTTTTATATTTTTTGTTTTATGAGGGCAAAAAAAAACCTATTTTTACTTTTCTTTATTACACTGAAATAAACAACATTTCATCCAGATAAACTTAGTTATGATTAGGATTACCAGGAAAAAGTACCTACAGTTTTCAAAACATGACAATAGCCCAGGTGGCAACTTCTTGTGTGAGGGTACTAAATTTATTGTGATGTATGTATAAGGCAATGCTACTGAATTCAGATTGGACATAGACATACGTCTTTGCATAAACTTTTGATAACCAGTGTACCATATGAATATATGGATTTTGAGAATGCACTTGAACAAAGAGAAAGGTTTAGGAGATTTCTAAAATACATTTTTTTTTTCAGATTTTCCTATTTAATTTAATTGACATTTTCAGCATTATAATATAGCTCACTTACATTGTACACAGGGTTGATAAATAGAATTTTCATCCCATAGAAATAAAAGTAAGAATGAAGAACAATGCCCCTTTTGTTTTGTATGTACACCCTTAGTGTTCATACCCTTGTCTCCTTCCAAGATAACAGAGTGATAGTAGGTATTTCTCTCCAAGAAATCTAATGTGATAAGAGTTGTTGGGTATGTGGGTCCAGGGTGTCTGTGGGTTATCATGTCTCGTATGAGAAAGGATTGGTGATTGGTTACCTAAGGTCGTGTAGAGGAGGTCAGTTAGATAAGGAAATTTAAAATAAATGTCTTGTGTACCAAAATTCTATGGTTTCATTTTCTGTATCAACCCATTCTAGACACACCAGGCACCATAACCAATACAGCCATGTTTTTAGTTCTCAGAGATTGGGACCAATCCCATTATTACAATGAATATGTAGGAGATATCCTTACAGGTAACAACAAAATGATCTATGTGTACTTCTGGCTCAGAGTTATAAAGAGATGGCAGTAGGAGAGGCAGTTGCCCTTGGCCTTATATTCTGCAGAGGACCCATAGAGGTTGCCTTTTGGGTCCTCAATCGTATGGCTGTGGCACGTGGACATCCAGCCTGCAACCTAAATGGAGGCAGGCCAGTTACCTCTGGTGTGCAAATAAGAGTCTGGATTTACAGAGAGCAACAATAGCTAGAACAAACTGAGATCAAAACCAGAGAACACACTAAATACATATTAAACATGTTATTTGGTCAAACAGGAACCACACATGGTCATCAAACTATAATGGGAGTGCCAAGTAATGCCATTCCTACATTTCCAGTGTTTGTCACCTTCAAAAAGTATGGGAATGAATAAACTGAATTAGTGAGACAGAGTTGTGCGTCAGAATTGACACCATTAGAATTATATACAGCAGGAATAACATGAGGGCTACTGCAAAGAGAAGAAGTGAGTTAACTATGGTTGAGATATTGACAGAGTTCACAGGAACTTAGCAGGTAACATTACAGGCAAAAAAGGAAGGCATTAGAAAACAGGGAGACAGACAGAGACAGGGAAAGAGACAAGAGGGTTAGAGTTGGGGACAATAAGCATAAGAGAGAATGAAGAGATACAGAGAAAGGGAGCAAGGAGAGGGGAAAATTAAGGAGATAGACAACTTACCTAGGGTCTTCAGGGCACTGGTCACAGCCTCTAGGAGAAGTGGAAAGTCCTGCATAGAGATTTCACTGAGCACACACAGCCAATGAGCTACGTTGTGCACTACTGGGCTAATGCAGAGAGCTTCTGGCTTTCATGGAGAAGATCGGTGCTTCAGCAGATCGCAGTTAAGTTGTCAAACCAATGCAAATGGTTTGACAACTTACCCTGGGAGGGGGTCAGGGCACTTCTGGCACTATAACCACTACAGCATGCTGTGGTATCTATGGTGCTTGGAGTGTTCCCTCAACCTTTGTAGAGTATAACTAAGCTGAGAATGCAAAGTCTGTGAAAACAGCAACATATATAATTATATTTAGAGCAGGAGTAGCTAAAATATCACCGCACATGCACAATAACCTCCCAAAGTCTTCCTGTGGGAAAGCATTGGATTGAATGAGATCGTCAAGTTGGATGAGTGCTGTTGAGACTGCTGTTACACTGGAATAAAGGTGAGTTTAAACACTTCTTACTCTTCTGAGTGGGTGGCCAGCCACCTAAATAGTGCTATTAGAACTATAATATCAGGAATACATGTTTTTTTTCCTGACACTATAGTGTTTATTTAAATACAGACAAGGGTTTATGGGTTTGAAGTCCTACCACAACTCATGGTCCACTTTTTCGGCCAGTGGGTTTAATAGCTCGATGAATAGCAGATTTGTCAAGATTGTATATTTTGTATAACTTAACTTTAACCCCAGGAGGTTTTAAATTGGTTAAATAAAATGCACATATTTCCAAATGCATTTTTACAAAAGTACTACAGAAATATTCCTAGTATAACCCTACAGATAAAATCACCTTGTAGCTTTTAAAAGCACTGCTATTTTTTAAAAAAAAATGTATGTGACTGATGTTCTTTGATGCTGAGTAAGATGAGAAGATTTGAGAAAACCTCTTCAAAGCAAACTTGACTCATGAATACACAAAGGTTTAATTCTTAGTACTGGGTTGAGCCCGGTGGCTTCCTTGTATATATTGCACAACAGCACAGCCCCATGTTTGCCCACAGAAAAGGGCTGTGCTATTGCACATTTATATCCGTGGAAATTCCTGCTAGTTTTTCCATCTAAGGCAAAGACTTCAAACGCATCTATTCATAGTGGCTTGGTTCCCAGCTAGCCAGAAAAAGCAGTCTCAAACCCTACAAACATCACTGATGAAGACAAAAAGTAAATATACCAATGAACTTTCAACTGGTTGGTGCTGACATTTAAAACGGAAGTATTGCCAGAAATAAAATTATAAAAGCTAAACTTAATATTTTTTCCTACAAATATCTCTCTATGTATTTTAAATTTAGCAACTCGTAGATTTGGACAGGATGGCTATATATTAATAATAATAACAGTTCTCCATTTTGTAAAAACTTTTTACAATTTTAATGCAATAGACTAAACATTAATGCACATGTGCTTCCAATCATAGCATCGACCATGAAGAAAGTTGAGGACGATAAGAATGTTCAAGTGAGACATTTTTAACTGTTATCAGTTCAAAGTCAGTCATGAGAAAGTTTCCCTGAAACCCCAGGGAAGTTCACGGGTAATCAGCTTAGGTAAGCAAAAATAAAAGAGAAAAGGAAATAGCCGCACTCATAAGATATCTCATAAACTTATACCAGGAAGAGCCACGAAAGTGTTGTTTATTGATCCGTTTGTTCATACATGTCAATAAAACAGACAACATAAATGCAGACGAATCTATTAACACACAGCAAAAAAAACAGGTCTGCGAACTTAAAAATATAGATCTGAGAACAGAATAAAGAATACGAGCTAGAGGAAAATTGGACACATTGCGTATCTTCCATCAACACTTCCTCAGCAACTTAATTTAAATTAAAGTGCTGAGGAAGCGTTTTGGTAGACGTGCTCTTTGTCTGTCTTTTTTCTGTTTCCTACCTATATTTTTTTTCCGGTTTGTAGACCTGTTTTTTTGTGTGTTTATAGATTGGTCTGCACTAATATGGTCTGTTTTACCGCCATGTTTGAACAAACAGATCAATAAATAGCACTTTTTGTGAAACATCATGGTTCAAATTTCTGGGATATCATATGAGAGCAAAAAGTGTCCCTGTTTGTTTTTTTTGCTTACTGTTAGGTGTGGAACCCAAGTGCCAGCACTGCTGATGCCCACACACACTACATCCACTACACAAACACACACTCTGCATTCACTATACACATGATACATCCACTATACACACACTCTATCCACTACACAAGCATACTGTATTCACCATACACACACACTGCATCCACTACACAAATACACACTCTGCATTCGCTATACACACACTACATCCACTACACTAACACACACTCTGCATTCACTACACACATTCTACAGCCACTACACACACACTAAATTCAGTACACCCACACTTCATCGTTGTGTGTGGACTCAGGATGGGCCATGTGGGTGGATTTGGCGGCGGCTCATGTTGGCGGACTTCGGGATGGGCTATGTGGACGAGCACATAGCCTGTCCCCAGCCTGGCGACCAGACCTTGGGCTGCGTCAGGGGCCCCAAAATTTCTGGTGGCGTCCCTGATTGTGACAGCCATATGGATCCGCCTGACTGGCTACCACAAGCCAAAAAATGAAGTGTAGGTGTGAAAATCTCCACAGGCACATACTACTTTTGGAGAACCCTTTTGGCCAGACTACTTGATTACTTTTTAAAGAGCATCTACTAAATGCTCTCTAAAAGAGACTGCATGTTACCCAGTCCCTGTCCTATCACACTACTGAGTTCCATTGCAATGTTCTCTCTAAGCCACAGCAGAATCACAGAAGTGAACCCATGTTGAGTTTGCTCTATCATGAATGAACCCAGGTACCTTCCAGTTGACCAATAAAGGTTGAATTATGTGCAGGTGGATATTACAGAGAGCTGTCATTAAAATCTGGCATCATACCTTTATATTGCAGACCTTTATTGATGGTTTATATTTTATTCTTTATTTGAGTCACCTCTATCTATAGCATTATCCATATCACTGGTGCATGCATCATTATTTTTATTTTTAAAATGTGCAATTTCCATTTTTGAATATTGAATCACTTATACGCCGCACAATTAAATAGAAATTGCAGAATAAATAAGAAAAGCTGTAACTCCCCTCCTTTTTCCATATGCAGATATGGATACACTATAGTTAATTACTATTGAAATTTATAGACACTTTTTTTGTATCTCATGATGTTCTTTGGTTAGTATATTAGTCAATCTCTCATAACATACAGATTGAGTTTCTGGTACTTTCCTGACTCTAATGGAATGTGCATGACATATCCCCTGGAACTTCTATACCCATAGGGGCATTTGGGGAACCTGCAGACATATAGTCGGGATTTCAAAAGATTCACTTGCAAAAAGCTAAATAATTTACTGGATTAGCCTGTCTCTGAGCAGGATCGAGTTGAAATCCAGAATTCATTCGATGTCTGGTAAATACGTGAGGTCTATATTTTATAGCGGATTCACATGTTAAATGACTGATTTTAAACAAGACACTGAATGGCTTCACCTAATGATGCTCGTTCGGTTAAAATGGCCACAATTTCAACAGGTTTGAGGTTGGTAAATATGATAATGGCAAATCTGGTCAACTAGAGGCATGTAATAGACAAATGTAAACATTCTGTTAACAAATGTAAACATTTACATTGTCCGATTAAAAGGAAGCTTTCTATGCACGAGAATTAAGATACAATATTTTTAGGTGATTAGAGTGTCCATTTGAATGTTAGACTCAGAAATGTACTTTTTTACAATTTAATCACAGTTCAGATTTAAAGGGACACTATAGGCAGCCAGACAACTTCATCTCATTCATCCCTGTTTCCTTAACCCTGCAATGTAAAACATTGTAGTTTTAGAGAAACTGCAATGTTTGCATTGCAGAGTTAAGCATGCCTCTAGTGACCATCTCCCAGACAGCCACTAGGGTCGCTTACTGCTGTTTCACGAAGTTTGACGCTTTGCATGAGGATGGCCAGAAAAAATAGGGAATTCTTCAAATTTCCTACAGGAAAGAATTAATTGAATGCTTTCCAATGGAAAGACCTAATGTGAATTAGGTTCCCCCCGATGTTGGAGAAGGCAAAGATGGAGCACTGAGGGACCTGAGCACTGGAATAAGGTGAGTGAATTCAAGGATTATTTAACCCTTTGAGTGCTGTGTGAGGGGAAAAATAGGGGGAGGGGCAACAAGGGGGGCAGAGGAACATCAGAGGTATACCTTACACTAAAGTGATCCTTTAACACAGGGTAGTTCTGTTATTTTCTCACTATTTTATCATATATGTCATTTTGACATATTGAGGAACATTATGTTAGCTGAGAAGTTAATAAAAGTGCATATTAGTTTGCATCATAGCATTTAGAGCTAAATGTTTAACCCTATAGAGCAGCGTTTCCCAACTGAGGTTCTGCCAAAAGTTTAAAAAATAAAATGACCGCGGGCAGTGAGCAGTCATCTCCCTGCTCATCTCCCTCGCGCGCACAGCAGTCATGCTGGAGCCGGAATATGACGCCACTCCGGCTCCGGCATCACTAAGAGGTGCGCAAGGTAGCTGAGCAGGGAGATCACTGCTCCTTCGCAGCCCGCACGCTAGCCGCTCAGCAGCCCCACTGGACATCTCCACGATGTTGATACACTATGTCAAAGGGTTCCACGGGAAAAATTAATTGGGAACCGCTGATTTCGAGAAATCCTCCCAGGGAAACAAGTATTGTTTCAGCACTGTATCCAATGCATTGCACTGCAGTGAAGGGTTACATTGTGGTAGTATACTGAAGATTTTTCACACAAAATATTTTAAAACAGAAACTGCATTAAAAGTATCTTAAAAGCAGATCAGTATCTTGAAAATTTTTACTTGAGATATACTGTGAATTAAAATTTTTAGTATGGGATATGTACTAACCAGCCACAATTCCACCTATAGTCTATGCCTACTTTAGTTGTACTACTTTTTAAGAAAATATTGTGTTTAGAAGTTATAAAAACAAAGAAGAGCTCTGTATCTTAAGTTTAACTTGAAAACTCATTCAACGGCTTTCAATCTTGACTCACAGGTGCCAATCTTGGCTCACTTATAGCAATTATCATGCATCAGTGGTGCAACTCTTGGCCAATGAGAATTCTAGAACATGCGGGGTGAAAAAGCTGGCACCAAAACACAGTTGTCAACAGGGCAGGCCTGTGTTAACAAAGTAGAAACAACTGTGAAAGATCATTCTGCTAATAATGTTGGACATTT